CCCCCCCCCCCCTCCCCCGCCCCCCCCATCTGGTGTCCGCTGCTGTCAGTGGTCAGGGTACTCCGCCGGTGTCGGTCAGCAGATGTGTACAGAACAATCACTGCCTAAGCGCCTCCTCCTTGGTCAGCAGCTGGTTACAGAACAAAGGCTGCCTAACCACCTCCTCCCTCCTGCCAGATATTGAACAAGTGCCCCGAGTAAGACTCTGAGACACCGGTGTCACTGTCATCCCCGCTGCAGACCTCGCCTCCTCCCCTTCTACCGGCCCAGGGCTCAGCCAGCAACCAGAACAACCCGCTCATGTTCTCCGGAGACCGGTATCTAGCCAGCTTTCGGATCCTGCGGAGTGAGGGAGTGCCACAGCAGTTCCGGCTGTAGGAGAAGCTTCACAAGCCATTTGGTCTGCAAGGCTTTGATTTGGAGTTTCGGCCCTTCCGGGTCTATTATTCCTAAGCCGCCCTGAGCTTTGGGTTGGCACACTGCGCACCATGCCACCTTCGTAAAGAGGGAGCGACGAGCCGGATTGCCAGTCCACAAGTAGGCTGCCGCATTGCGCTTCAGGTCCTTACGCATGGGGCCCTCTGGAGTCCAGATCGTGCCCGCATACCAAAGCATGGAGTGCGACGAGAACCAGCACCCAACCGAAGACTGAGGTGTATACCCGGGCAGCAAGACTAGAACTTGTTTGAGCCATGATAGGGATTGTCCAGCAATGCAGAAGGTCTAGAGAGGTCCTGTATGTGTCCAGTAGGTAATGATGCGCCAGGACCTAAATATGTAGACATCCATATCTCTGATTCCAGGGCCTGCAGGTAGATATCAGTGATGTTCCCACCAAACCCACAAACACCTGATAGGCCTAGTGCAACGAACGGAGGCCGGGTAGAGGCAGGCAGTGCCGGGCCAAGAGGTACTAGAGGTCACGTAGCCTACAGTGTATCATTTGGTGTAACGACTAAGGAGCTCACTCACCAAGCAGTCATGCTGCGGCTCTGCCCCAGAGGGAGAGGTTGGTGTAGCACTTGGGTGTGAAGGTGGAGCTTGAGGGTGGGGAAGAAGGTGTCTATGTCTATGGAGTAGTAGGGAGATGTAGGAGAAGGCCTACGCTATGGAGGTGGAGGGAGAACACCATGAAGGTCGAGAGAGGTTGGAGAAGCAGGGAGGAGGATACCGGCATGGAGACCTTTGGCTATGGTGGACTAAACTTTTCATCATCCTGGTTGGCTCTCCATGAAGAAGGCCCCTGCTGAGGCACGGGTTGGGCATGCGGTTCCAGCTCTGCTCTTCTTCTTTTTCTTGTACCTCATTCTGCTTCTTTTTTAACTCGTTCGTCGTCTATATGAGTTGTGATGAATGGCATTGTCTCACATTTTGAGTTTAAATTTGCATTATGAATTGAGCAACATCATAGAACCTGTCTCTTATACACATCTAGATGTGTATAAGAGACAGGAGAGAGAGAGAGAGAGAGAGAGAGAGAGAGAGAGAGAGAGAAGCATGGTGAGGCCTGCACATGGGCCCTGTTTTGGGGCCCGACGGTTGGTGGGGGCCCCCAGACCGCGCGGCCACTTTGAGCCATGCGACTTGGAGGCCCACGGCCATTATCAGGCCTGGCCCGCATTTTGGTCCATGTGTTTTTTTTTTTTTTTTTGTGCATAAAAAAAGAAAACAGCTGTCTTCTCCTCATATAGGGGACAGTTGTATTTTTGACATATCCTCTTTTCTTCTCTGTGTTAACCTCTGGCTAACTACCCATATCTATGCCACACCCACAAGTCCTACAAAGCATATAATGGATCACCCCTTTTCAGGGCGAGATTGGAACTACGATCTAGGGCTGTTCTTTTCTTGATTCAGCATATATTATTATATTTTAATTATTTATTTTGTTGAGTCTTTGTCTGGCCCTCTTTTGTCTGTCCCAATTGTGTCGTTTCAGATTGTGCCTCAGTCCGAACAGACCGGTGTCTGACCGATGTCTGTTCGAACCACTGGTCGACATTGGAGACCGAGGGAGGCCAGGTCCAGTTTTGGGACCTGCTTCATCAGCAGGTTGGTCGAACGACCAGTAGGGACTCAGGCCGCCCGATAGTTCATCCTGTCCATACGACCAGGACTTCGGTTCTGCATCCAGGACCGCCGAGGGACTGAGGCAGGCCCACTGCTATATCTAGCTGGGCCAGCATCGGCATTCACTAGTTCCCATTCAGTGGGCATCACGCTGCTGGAGGATCGCGCGACTTCAGCGCTGCATTAGAGGTAGAGGTAGACACGTAGGAGCAGGAGTGGAAGGGAGTGGAGGCTAGCGGTCATAGCGTCGAGGTACAGTAGACTTACCTGGACGCCACAGCTAGGCTTCCTCCAGCGACCTGCAGCACCGAGAGCACATCTCAGTCGGTTAGTTCGTGGCATCAGCATTCCTGCAGGTGAGACAGGCGACAGAGGAGAGATCGACTTCTTCTTCTCCTTCTTTCTGTCTCGGCCGAGGTTCCTCTTCCTCAGCCTCACCTTTTCCTTTTTCCGGGTCGCATTCCAAAGCTCGCTGCCTTGCCTGCCACTCATCCTCAGCACGCAACCTCTCCTCCTCCTCAGTGTCATCATCATCATCGGGTACAAGTACCTCTTCCTGCGGCTCCTTTGATCCTTCATCAGCAGCAGCCTGCGTATGTGAGGACTTCCTAGTCCTATCAACTTGTGGCAAGGCACTAGGGGGTGCCCGTTAAGTACTGGGTGTGACATGAGCGCGGCCGGCATAGATCGCGGAGCCGATGATGAACCTGGTACAGACGGTGAAGCACCTTCGGGTCTCCGATGAGTGTCCCTACCCCATCCTCCGAACAAGTACACGTTTGGAAGCCCGGGCCACTCCTCGTCCATGTCGAGGCACAGCTGGATGACTGTATCCTGGCATCGCCACATTTTCCTTGTCACTTCCCATGCCCGCTGAATAACGACTCTCCGCCCTCCATATTCCTCATCCTCCTTCTTCTTATTCTCCTCTTCTTCTTCTTCTTCTTTCAGAGAGAGAGAGAGAGAGAGAGAGAGAGAGAGAGAGAGTACAGGCAAGCCTGGGCTGTCTCTTCTCCACCAGTCAATGCATCCTGGGCTATGGGGCCCAGGGTCTGATTCGACATTGGAGGGGCAGACATTGATTGGATACTTCGCAAGGAGACTATTTCTGAACAGCGCTGTCGCGACTCTGGTCTACTCCCATGCCTCCATCTTTGTCTTGCTCCTCCTCCCTCCCTTCATCTGTGGTATTCTCCCCATGTGCGTGATCAAGGAGGGACATTTTCTCTAGGCTTGCGGTCCCTCCTCTTTCTCTCACATGTCTGATGTGCATGGGACGAGTCGGTTCTGAGTCGTGGATGGGATGAGTCGGGTCTGAGTCTATGTCATCAGGTCATCATTTCGAGTCTTCTACTGTGCTAGATTGCCTTATTTCGTGATTGTATGTGCTGACATTGCTTTCTTGTTGATGCGTTGTGATTCTGAGTCCTTGTCATCACTTTGCTGGTCCTTTGGGTCCATTGCATCACTCTGACTGATGGGAGTATGGATGAGAGAGAGAGAGAGAGACCAACTGAACAACCAACAGACCGAAGGGAGGAGCTTCATGTGCTTCATGGCTGAGTTGAGGAGGATGAACAGAGAGAGGCACGAGGGACATAGAGAATCATACTTTGATTATTATTGTTGGTGTTTAGCCATGTTCGCGGATCTGCATGGATGTACCATCATATGTCAGCTTTGTATCCTTTTGTTTAACATGATGTCCAAAGTCTACTGGGAATCTTGAAGAACCATTCCATCAGTGAAGAAATGTGGACCTGTCCAGACAGCTTGCCTAAGACCTACCTATTACGCTTGAACTGCAAAATCAGGTTTCACTCTCGGAGCAGAGAGACACACAGCTGAGGTATTGGCCACCAGTGCAGGTACATTGAGTGTGCGCTCAGGGGTTGCAGATCTTTCTGTTTTGAAGACCACCCAGGTACTTCCACCCCTGTGACCCCCCTAGCCTGCCCTACCCTTCTCTTTCCCCCTTTCTGGCATTTTCCCCTCTTTGTGAGGCCTTCACCGTTCTCTCTCTCTCCTACACACACATACGCACCCCACCCAGGTAATACCGTTCAGCAGATTGGAATTCACACTCTTCTTCTACCCCCGCGATCCCCCTGGTCTTCCCTACCCTTGTCTTTCCCCCCTTCTGTCATTTTCCCCTCTTTGCAAGGCCTTCAGCGTTCCCTCTCTCTCCTACACACACACACCACCCACTCCTCCCTCACCGCATGAGGACTTCCTGCCCCTCTTTCCTTCCTCCCTCCCTTATGTAACACGAGTGAATGCATAAGAATGAGCATAATTAAGAGAACAGACAAAATACAAGCTGAAGATCAGCAGAAAATGACCATGAGTATACCTCCTACTCTACCTCCTTTCATAGCTTGCAAGTGGCCTGTCATGGCACACAGGGATTTGGGCTGCCCGCGCTCAACCATAATGAATGTGGCGAGCCTTGTATTTGAGAGGCACAGAAACAGGGGAGCTGCAAGACGTGAGAAAACAGAAAACCTAAAAAAAGTCCAACTAAGGAAAGCAAAGACAGGACTGGGCCCGCTTCTCAGCAGGTGCTCCTCCCCCCACCAATAGATGGAGCCACCCCGGGATAGCTTGAGGCGACTGCTCCTACCAGCATCTCAAGCTGTCCCATGGGTCCGATTCTTCAAAACAAAAAAAACAAACAAAACAAACAAAAAAAAAGACAGGACTATACAGCTAGCTTTCCAGCCCGGGGACACGGGGTATCCCAGCATGCCCGGAATGGCGCCCGGGCCGCCCAGCCGGGCGGCCCCCCCGAGCAGCCACCCGCCCCTCTCGCACCAAGGCAGAAAAGGCCTCAATTTTTTTTTCATGCCGCAGCCCTATTCCAAAAGTGTCAACTTTGTCTTTGGCGGTCGGTGCATTTTTTTGGGGGGTCCGGTAGGCCTCGTTTTGCAGTTTTTTAATTTTGGGGGGGATTCTGGCCGTCAATCTGCATAGATCCACGGTGTACGCTGATACAGGATTCGAATTCGCCCCCTCCTGCACCCCCTCTCCCCCCCCAACCTGCAGAAATCAACATGCGTGAAAATAAAAAAAGAGGCCGGATTTGGGCACTACTCCCAAAGCACAGCAAGGTCTGGGGGTAACAAACAAAAAACTTGGTGGGTTTTCTGCATGCTAGGGGTACCCCGGGCGGGGTGCCCGGCCGGGCGCCCCGGGAAAGCTAGCTATACAAGGAAAAGGCAATGTATTTGTTAATTTTGTTTGCTGTGAAGGTAAAGCTGTTTCAATTTTCGGTCTGCTCGTTTTAGTGTGCTTTTGCTTCCTATAGCGGTAAAGCTGGTTAAATTTTGGATGTCCTCATCTGGGTGGAGAAGGGGTTGTTGTGCTGACAGTGTACACCACGCACGCACATGCCAGTGGGTATCCATGGGTGGGTGGGTGTTTAAAGTGGGTTTTGTGGCTGTGAGCCTGTGACAGATTAATTTCTCAGACTTACTGCCATTGGACCGACAGTCTGCTAGGATTGCCGGGTCGGTGTGAGTAAAGCTGACCACTTTTCTCAGGGTTATTGCTAACACTGGGTGATGTAGTGAGTATCCATCAGTCAATGCATCCTGGGTAGAAGCATGACTGCAGGGTAAGATGCTGCTTGATTTATTGTGCTCGAATGATGAACTCTTGCAGCTCGGCCTCACAGCTTCACTTAGGCTGCAATACCATTGCCTCTCTAGGGTACTACCTTCTTACCCCCAAAAAAACGTACGCACGTTCTATTCGAATTACCTTCGAAACTTTTAGAAATCACTCCTTTTTTTTTTTCCAGAATAGAACGTACGGTCAAATACAACGTGCGTACATTGTATTCGAATACAACATACATACGTTGTATTCGAGTATTCGGAGTCTGTGGCATTTGAGACATTTATGATTTTTCACTATAAAAAAAAACGTTAAAAAACAATAATCTCTCTCTCTCTCTCTCTCTCTCTCTCTCTCTCTCTCTCTCTCTCTCTCTCTCTCTCTCTCTCTCTCTC